GAGCCCGCTATATTCGCTGATTATATTGAGCCAGTCAGAATCAGCTAAGGTGCTGAGTCGTTTCTAGCTGATATTGCATTTTCAAATAGCATCTTTAGAAATATTAAATAGAAGTATTAAGGGCGGCGCCAGAACTCTTATCTTCTGCATTCACCCCTTTCAGTATGATAATCCGACTGTCTCTTCATCCTTACTTTTGAGCAATCGCTTCATTTTAATTTCAATGCTATTCTAATTTACTATTATCTGTGTAGGCGTATATGATTAAAGGTTACTCGTCAGGGCGTGTCCATTATTTTTAAGGCTATTTTTGTCACGGTATAATTATCAGACGTCACCTAGCCTAAAAACTTTCTGAGTATTACTGCTAGTACACCTTAAACCATGGTCCATCAATAAGTAACAACTTTTTGATTTTTGACAATAGATATAGAACTATTCACGCTTGTACGTACTACTTAATATTGTCATTACTAATGGCTACTATTATGGCTTCAGGTCGTGTATAGGGCCTCGGACGGCAGCTATGTTGTTCCAGAGAGGATCGTCGAGCATCCGGACGGAAGTCGTACTTTGGTGATTGGCCGAGGTGGAATACCTTGCCCTGAGGTCCACTGCCACTGTCAGCGCGATTACAATTGCGGCTGTGGCGCCATGTATGGAGGTGCGGCCCTTGGGCTAGCCACAAGTGCCCTCTTTTTCTCACCCTTTCTGTGGAGCCCATTTTTTTGGTGGTGATCAGATAGATCCATTTTCGAGGATCAATGTGAGTGTGCGCCAATTCGCTATCACGGAGCAGAAGCTTTTCTAGCGCTGTTCTTTGACACTGCATAATTTTTTCATCCCTTTTCATGGCACGGAGCTTTGACCTGACTTTCAATCTTTAAAATTGTGATATTCTGAACATCTCCCGAATTCAAATTTTTCTTCTACGCTCCAACCAGATTTTCCCATCGATTCCTGGGTGACATCTTCCCATCAGAAAGTATTGTGCTCTTATTTTAAATCTGCTGGATTTATGAATTTTGCACCTGAATTGACTTATGTGCTCTTGCATCACCCTAAGCCTGCTTACCACCAATAGTGAGCCAATCTAGTATTGTCGCTCCCCCTACTATGGCAAGCCACCACCTATCTGCCCGGTATATCCCGCCGGTCTATGGGTTCTATTTGCGCCCCCGTACTGATCCAAGTTCTGGCCTCTTCAATTAGATATTCTGCTCTGTTAGGGGCAACGAAGACAGGTTTATCAGAGGTCTAAGAAAAGCAAAGGTCGGGACGTGTCGCCGCACCGGGACCTGTTTGGTATCAGGGCCGAACTCAGACGTTGTGCAGCGCTTGTCTCGCAGCAGCGTGCGAGTCGGCTTCATATTCTAAATGTGAGCTCTAAACGCGCCATTGCCACAGCCTGAGGCAGACAGGTGAATAAAATCACTAAATAAACTCCCCAGGCCCCGACATCTGTCCGCCTTCTCGTGGCAAACTTCGCTCATGTTTTCCTATATTCGGGGCCCTACAGTCCCCAAAAGAACGACCGGAAGCAATATGGCCATGCTACAAAAATTTCCTAGTCTTGGGTGCATATCCTCGCTCTGAATGGCACCAGTTCAGAACGAGTATTCTCCGTAAAATTCTCCGTTGGCGGTCAAGTGCGCTGTTTGGGGGCATATTTGGGGCGCCCGGAATCCTGATGAGTTATAGAAGCCAGTGATATTTAAACGTAATAAAAATGCGAAAATTAATAATACATATTCAATATAGGGGGCCGTCGATCAAGTGGGTTGCCTCCAGATGGAGTAAAAGCTTAATCTTTCCGAGGTAGTGACGAGTGACAATTTCCTCACTTCCTTATTATAAAATCGGTTAGTGGCTGGATCCCCTTGAGTGTTTTGCGCTTTTTGAGGTTGACGGGCTAATTTAAAAGTAGGAAAAATATAAACAAAAATCATAAATAAGCGAGAATTGGCATTCCAAATTTTGCCCATTGGGGAGGGACATTGCAGTTGTGCGGATCGGCTTTAATGCGGGCGTGAGTGTCGCGTAATTCACAGGACAAAATCAGCGAAGAAGTACTTGGTTAGAATGGGCGGTAAAATAGGGGACCAGGGGCAGCTAAGGAGCGGAATGTAGCCATATGAAGCCAACGCTAATTTTTTATATGTAGAGAAGAGTAATTTAACCAGCGAAACTCGCCAACAATGTAAAGCTTGAAGGAAAGAATTGCATGTGTATAATGCAACTGAACAAGGTATTAACAAAAAGGACTAGACAAATTGATGTAGATAAATCTTAATTGGTCGTACCTGCATCCTCGGAATACGAGAGCCTCCCATGGAAATGTGATAGTCCTCCTTGGGTTCAATTGACTGAAAATATGGTAATTAAATGTAGAAATGTCTAACATAGCACATGAACATTAAAATAATAGGGGAGTATATAGTTCTCGTGTCTGTTATGATGGACAGGCTGTGAACAAACCAGGGGAGTCCATCTAGCTTTAAATTGGCCGTAGCAGGTTTCCCACGAGGCTTCCATATATCACGTGAAATCTAGGTCTCTGACACCCGCGAGCATCTGATGAAGGTAAGCATTACCACATGGATGTCAAAGAATCAAGTACTTGGCTCTCGTGGTAATCGCTTAGCATTGAAAA